GTTTTATACGGCAAGTTTCGCCATAAATCACTTCGTTTCGCCGGCTAAGTGTGCACGCGCGTCCGCGAACGAACTACTTCGTAACCAGATAAGCGGCTACTGGAATCCGCCGTGTTCCGCAAGCGGCACGTCTCGTCGTGCACGTCGACGATACCACCGGTGCCTTTACGACAGCAATTTTTACTCCCGTGCGTGTGCTTTTGTGAGTTGCCAACGCGAGAAATCCAGAATTAAAGATTGAACAAATCTTCCTCTCGGCCGGCGAGAATCACACTACTGTTATCACTACCATTATTCCCCGACATCCCGCCGGAGAGCCGGGAACGGCTCTTTGGGTGACACCTAAGTGACGCTGTCCTTTGTGTCTCCCGACTAAATGAGTTAGTCCACCCAAAGGACACCCTGAATCTTCATCTCAAATCTCATCTTATTATCGCTGGAATAATAATTATTCGCCGGTATTACTCGTGATACGAGCCAGAGAAGAATCCAATCGGGATGATATGCGCAACACAGTGCAGTGCAGTGAACTGTTCGCTTTCTTGCGTAGCGAAATTGGAACGTGAGCCGACAATCGCACAGTTACAGAAGCTCAACCCCCTTACATTCTCTCATCGATCGACGCCGTTAAAATGTATTGCCCGCTCGCGTTATCGAGAAACATTTCTCTCTCTCTTTCTTCCTCCCTCTCTTTTTATTTCTCTCTCCCTCTCTTTCTCTCTCTCTCTCTCTCTCTCTCTCTCTCACGCTTCTTCCATGAGTGCGAGTGACGTGTATGAAAAGTAATACAAATTCGATAAGTCACCATGCGCATTTTACGGGCGAAATGGAAAGCGTATTCTCGACGCCGATCTTGCGTGGCAATTCCTGCGCGCCCTCATGGGTAGAGGGGGGAGACGATTTACATTTCTAATGTTTTTCGGATAGGGATCGACGCATCGCGTCGCGCCGCACCGCGTCTCGAAGGGAAGGATGGACTTTAAAGAAGCGACGAAGCAGCTGCAGCCACCTCGAAGGAACGATTCGATGTAGGGATAAAGCGGTTAGCCCCAGCTACCTCATCCTCCTCGCCCTTCCCCCCTATTCTCCGCTAAAACGGTGGGAGATGGGTATCTCTGAAAATAGGATTGGTGCGGCACGCATTGTGCCGAGGACAGTGTCTCTCCGCCTCCGTTTTCGCCTATCTTCCCTCCCTCTCTCTCTCTCTCTCCCTCCCAGTTTCTCTCCCTATCCTCTCATATTTATAGCTTTCGCCTTTTCCACCGTCCTTCGCGCGCCCCATACTCGCACGCTTAATTCGACCGCTCTCCGTAGAATACGCTTTTCTTCAGCCGGGAGGAAAGTAATCCGACGGGTAGAGAGAGAAAGAGAGAGAGCACGGGCAAATGCGTCGGACCTGGCGTGCAGCAGGGGCGCCAGGTGTGTTCTGATTTATCACGACCGCTGGAAGTTGACTGACGACCGCGGCCGTGGGGCCGCTGTCCCGGATCCCTACGTTCGTGGATCGTTTAGTGGCTTATTAAAATTTCTGACGGTATGTCCCTATAGGCTGGCCTAACGGCGCGATGTCGATCGGGGACGTATAGATATGGACTAGTAATTCCCTGTGTCGCTGTTGCGAGCCTCGAGCTTTTTTACGGCTTCGTTTATTACCAGTGTACTCTCTCTTTCTCCCTCTCTCCCTCACAGACTTTCTCTCTCTCTCTCTCTCTCTCTCTCTCTCTCTCTCTCTCTCTCT